GCTGCAGCACAGCCGGCTCCGGGGCCGCCAGCACGGGTAAGCCGAGTCGCCCCGCCAGGGCAGCGCAGGGACGGGTCTCTGGGGCATCCAGGCGGGCTGAGGGCGCAGGGGACAAAGCCCGAACCCAAAGCAGGCAGCGTGAGTCGCTCGGAGACGCCAGTAAATCCTGCGCGCAGTGAAGGGAGGGAGGTAAGAGGCAGCAGCGGAGGGAAAGCCCAAGCCGAGGCTTTGTAGAGGAAAGGGGTGGGGGAGTTGACCCGCGACCCTCTCTCCTCCACCAAATGCGAGACCGTCCATGCTTGCAATCTCTCCTCGCAGCGCGTAGGCCGAAGGGGGCGTTGGCCGCTCTCTGCCCAGAACTGCCATGGGAAGGTGCCCAGGGCAGGGGTTTGCCCACCCGGCTGTACACGTATTCGCTCTCAGTCAGGTTCTTGTCCAGGACTCCAGACATGAGTGAGACTGGGGCCACACAGGTAGCAGCGTCCAGGGCAGCCCAGATTCCTATCACCTGTCCATACCCTGCAGCCACTTCCTGGCACCAGGCAGTGATCTCTGAGCACTGAGAGGGCCGTGTGGCATCCCTCCCCCTGCCAGGTGAAGAGCAGGAAAACTCACTGGACCATGGCCCATACTATAGGGACGGGGAAACCGAGTCCTGAAAAGTTACCCGGGTTCTCACAGTCCTGCAGGGTGCTTTGCAGCCTGGAGTGAGGTCTGGGAGCACCAGCTGAGTTGTCAATGAGGGATCCTGTTATTGCAGGTATTCTGTAAGACACTGAGGGTATATGGCTTAGGAGGCAAATGCAGGCAGAGGCTCTGACCTGGTAAGACAGAGCCAGGCAGTGGCATGGTGGTTAAGGCCTCTGGATCCTACATGGCTGACAAGGCAGTTTGAATCCCGGACCTGGAGGCTTGAAAAAAACATGTCAGGCACGTGTGCATGGGAGTGTGTGCCCAAACTCTGGAGAGAATGGAGGAGAAGGGCTTGTGGCGTGGCCACCCCCCTGGAGGAAGCTTTCTTCAGTAGTAGCCCAAATGTCTTTGGGACCTGGCATTCACACCCTCAGACAGTGCCCAAAACTCGAAGAGGCTGGGCAGGTCTGTACTCAGATCAAAACTCATTGCTGGGCACAGTAGAGTCAACTTCACAGCCTGTGGCAAAACCTGGCCCCACTCCCACCTAGCACACCTAACTGGGTGTGGGTGTGAGACTGCCCCTTTAGGGCATAGGTATCCTTATTTCCTCTAACTAAAGACGACTTTACAGTCTTAGCTGGCCTGTCAGGGAGGGGGACTGCTGACAGCATTTCTGGCCACGCTGCAGGACAAAATCAGTCCAGGCCAGGCTGCAGCCTCAACACCCTCCTGGAAAGGGGAGAGCACCAGAGACATCCCGGAGTCTGTAAGGAAGTGAGAAATTCGCCTTCAATTTAGGCTGTGTGCACAAGAGGATGAGGGTGCAGGTCAGAGAGCCCAGGGGGACACAGGCCTCAAAGGCAGAATATGAGCAGCTGGTGTTTTTGGTACCCCTGCCCAACTGCCCAGGGTCCCTCTGCCCTTCTTGCCAGTGAGGCATGTTCTCTTTGGGTGCCACAATCTACTCAGAAGATTTCTGTTCCTTCTGTATCTTAACCCCTAAATCAGGAGAGGGCCCCAATGGTGTGCCCTACATCACTGTCACCCGAAATGGCATTTGCATGCACAACAGGGAAGGGTTCCCACAGGTATTGAGGGGGTTCCACCAAGAGCCATTTCTAGTTCAAACCTTCTTTTCTTCAGACCCCAGATGTGATGCTGAACACTGACTAGCCAAAAAATAGGGCTTAAAAAAATAAAAATAAAAATAAAAAAATGCTCTTTATTATGAGTTTCAAATATTATATCCACTTCCCCACCATGCCCTGCAGCTAATCCCCTTGACTAGCCTCTCGCAGTGCAGTTGGAAAGCCCTAGTGTAATCTGTGATGGACAGCACGCTCTACAAAGTCACTCAAGTGCTCCGTGTCCTGTCCTCGTCTATTGGGATGCACAGGCCACAAATTGTGACAGAATGGTTGTAGTCACGTGTGCATTTACTCTGATCTAACTGGCCCCGAAAATACCACGGGGCTGACTGACTTCGCACGCAGGGGTGTGGCACTGCGTGCGGATGGCTAAACTCATTCGCTCAAGCTCCAGCCTTCATTCAAAGCGAGCACTGGTAAAAAGGGAAGCAAGACTTCTTTGCTATTTTAAGAAAATGTAATGTGCTTCACGATGTGAAGGAAGAAACAAGAGCCGTGCCTGATTCATGGACAGCACTTATCACCCATCACCACTTTTGCTTTCCTCTTCCCCGTCACACAATGAGATCTCGTTCATGTTCCCATTTTACAGAAGGTGAATCTGCAGCTTAGTGGTAAAGAGTGGCTTCGTCCGAACCCAGAAAGCTGCTGGGGAAGTAGTGACGATGACACGCTCTCTCCACTTCCAGCTGTGTCTGTGTTGCTATAGGGAAGGGAAAAATAATACCGCAAGAGAAGTAAAAATGCAATCCCTTTTCCAAATAGCAACAACCAAATCCTGGAGTGAATTTCCTGATGCACTTGATTTTCAAATTCAAGTTTAATAGCGGCACTCTTACAATCCAGGCAGAAGGTCCAGAAATGGCTTGCTCAGGACCAGCAGTTGGTGTGACAGCTATGTTACTGGACTCTCATGTAGTTGACCAAGATTCAAGTCCCGAACCCAGTGGCTTAAACTCATGCCAGGCACATGTGCATGCATGCCTAAGATCCCAAGAGGAGAATGGAGGAGAAGGGATTACAACGTGGCCATCCCCCCAGGGGGTGATTTCTCACTTTGTCTCTCTGTCTCTCTCTGTCTTTCTGGTGAGCACAAGCGCCCTATAGCAA